TGGGCGCCCCGCCTACTCTACTACTATCGTAATCTCCTACTCTACTACTATCCTAATATCCTGTCGCCTACTATCCTTATCTCCCGAGTTGCGAACTATGAACGCGGCCTAAAAGTGAAGTGAAGATAAGACATGGTTTTTCTGTCTTATCAACCACTTCATTATCGTCGATCAGAATGTCGAACACGGTCTTCATGTGATATAAACCAACGTGGCCTTTTGAAGATCTGCGATTTTTCAGAACGAGCTCCTGGGAAATCAGAAATTCCAAATGAACCTCATGATTCTGTTCCTTCTAAGGCATAATTTTAAAGCTGAATGCTAACCAGAGAAAATACTTTGCAGTTCAAAACGCGTGGCAACCTTCCCCTCCCTCCCAGGTACATCGTCCCGAATTTTTTCTCTCCATTCTTCATGGTTATAACACCTCTCTTAACACGAGCTACTCAGTTCTCTTCTAGTGGCACAAATCACAGTTTCCGACCAATATCGATGTTTTGAACAGCAAATCACGCAACCATGGCATACACAGAACTTTGTGTGGCCTATCGCTCACCTCGTCCTCGTCGGCCTGGGTCGATGCGACACTCAGTGAATCAGTTGCCATGCTGATCGTTGCTAATTCCTTGGGTAAGTAGTATCAGAGTAGTGATTGAGCAATATTCAGCTGAAAGTACCGAATTAGACTATAAGTGCCAAGAGAAAGCTTACCGTATCTCAAGAGAAGTATCTCTGATAGAGAAGTTGAGAGCAGAATATAAGCTACCGACCGTGGGTGGTACTTAAAATGAGTGATTCTTACTCGTGGCTACTCACTCCACGTTGGATTTGACTATCAATCATGTGCTTAGGGAGGAACAGATGATAACGCGCCCCAACGACGACGCCAACATGTTAAAGCTGAGGTTGAAAAAAAATTCACGAAAAAAATCATTGCGCATTGTTGGGGAAGGTAGGCTTCGAAAAGCCGTACGAGATCAACTTCGGACAGCTTTCGAAGCAACGGGGAAGCATTCACTCAAAGCTTTGCCATCTGTATGTTAAGGAACTCGGTCTCCGGACATCTGTCAACCGTGAGGCTAGGCAATTCAGCGTTTTGTTGTGCTGTCTGGGAGCTCTCACACAAGCACACTATTACAGAATCTCCGCTTTCTTTACCTCCTTCAAAAGGCTTAGTCCCACTACCACAAAAACGTCTGCTTTTCCTTCTACACTCTCACCCCCTGGTTGACAGAAGCCTTGTAACCCAAACTCGAATGGTTTTGCGGGCCTATCACGGGCCTACAGTAAGTCAGCTTATCAAATGAGCGTGTGATCACTCCTAGACTGAATCCCGCCTAGGCCAGCCAAGCCATCAGTCCCTTCGGGCTGGAAAGGATGCTTATTTCTCTGGCAATCCCCTCTCCACATCTCCCTATCTACTTTCTAATTAGTACTGCGCTTCTCTCCTACGCTCTCTTTCGTCTCGTCGTCTTCAGCACCTCCTAACAGAGCGCTCAGTTTC